AGCCCACTTCCCCATCTGATCAAGATCCTTCTGTAATTTTTGATAACCTGTTTCGCTGTCAACGATACCTCCTAATTTTGTATCGTTCGCAAACTTACTAATCATGCCTTATACATTCACATCCAGATCATTTATGTGAATAACAAATAACAAAGGTCCCAGCACCGACCCCTGTGGCACACCACTAGTCACAGGCCTCCAGTCCAAGAAACAACCTTCAGCCATCACCCTCTGCTTCCTACCATCGAGCCAGTTAGTTGAACTGAACTATAATTTACTAATTCATTTTTGACCCTTCACTGATAGTTGGACCTAACCCACAAAAAGCATATGCTCAACATCAGTCCTTTATGCGGTCAACAGTGATCAATAATTTTCTACTTTTATGTCATTATTTTTCTGCAGTCACTTAGTCTAATAATTTATGATACTGTTGACTATTTGGTTAAATGGGATACATTTTGAACAGATCTAGGAATTCAAAACTAGGTGTCCATGAAGCACTGCAGGCCATTAGCAGCAACAGAACTGTATTCAACCATAATCTCACTCTATTAATCACCTTCAAGTCAAGGGATCCATCCTGGTTCACTGATTAGTGCAGGACAGTGTAGAAAAGCACCATCCATGCCTAAAAATGAGGAGTTAACCTAATGAAGCTACAAATCAGGGCTACTACAAACTAGACAGCAGAAGCATCTTGCAATATATAGAGCTAAGTGATCCACAACAAATAGATAAGATTTAAGTCCTGCCATGCACAGTTGTGAATGATGGTGAATAATTAAAGAATTACTGGGAGGAGGAGGCTCCACCAATATTCCCCTATTCAATAAACACCGAAAGAACTGGCAATACAGAGCAGTGTCCCTGGCTAACCGTCTTCAGCTACTTCATCGGTCATCTACTTTCCATCACAATGTAGGAAGTGGGGGTAGTCAGTGATGACCACACAATGTTACCACTTTTCATTTCTCTGAATAATGATTCAGTCTGTGTACACGTTCATCAAGTCGTATACAACAAAGGCTTGGGATGATAAATGGCAAAAAACCTTTGTGCCACACAAGCGCCAGGCAATGACCAAGAGATAAACAAACTGTCTCCCCTTGACATTCAGCGCCATTACCATTGCTGAACCATCATCTATTATCAACATCCTGGAAGTTACCATCGAACAAAAGCTGATCTGGACCAACCATAAAAATACAGAGGATACACAAAAGAGGCTGGGAAGATTGCAGCAAGTAGCTTTCTAGAGCACGGTGTCTCAGTGGTTAGCACTGCTGCCTCACAGCGCTAGGGACCCGGGTTCAATTCCAGCCTCGGGCAACTGTCTGTGTGGAGTTTGCACGTTCTCGCCGTGTCAGCATAGGTTTCCTTCAGGTGTTCTGGTTTCATTCCACTGTCCAAAGATGTGCAGGCTAGGTGGATTGACCATGCTAAATTGGCCGTAGTGCCCACGGATGTTTAGGTTAGGTGGGTTAGACAAGGGAAATGCAGGGGTGGGGGAATGTGTCTGGGTGGGATGCTCTTCAAAGGGACGGTGTGGACTTGTTGGGCCGAATGGCCTGTTTCCACACTGTAGGGTTTCTATGATTCTACCTATAAGACTCAAGTCAGCAGTCTGGTAGAATACTCACCACTTGCCTGGACAAGTGTAAGAAGCTTGGCACCATCAAGGATAATTCCATTTAATTGATTGGCATCCTATCCACCACTTTAAATAGTCAGTCCCCTCACAGCCAATGCAAAATGTCATCAGTGTGTACCACTATTAAAAATCTATATTCCCCTGAATGTTGTATCGGACTTGTTGAATATGTACACAGGTATGAGGAATCAAGGATGGTACTAACCATGATTTCTGAAGAAGGGTCTAGGCCCGAAACGTCAGCCTTCCTGCTCCTCTGATGCTGCTTGGCCTGCTGTGTTCATCCAGCTCTACACCTTGTTATCTCAGATTCTCCAGCATCTGCAGTTCCTACTATCTCTGGTACGAACCATTTGTGTAATTACTAATGTTTGATGCAGAAAGAGCAACAACGCATTAAAGGTCCTTTGCTATCACTTTGCAAACCTGCCATGTCTACCCAAAAGGACAAGGGCAGTGCCACCTGCAACTTCCCCTTCAAATCTCACAACATCCTGACTTGGAACTAGATTGCAGTTCCTTCACTGTCACTGGGTTAAACCCTTGAAGCTCCAATCCTAACAGCCCTGTGGGTGTCCCTACACTCCAACAGTGCAACAGTTCAAGAAGGCAGCTCACCACAAAGGCAGTTAGAGATTGTAAATAATGCCGGCCCAGCCAAGGATGTCCATGTCCCATGAAAAGAATATTTTAAAAAATGTCTTCGTGGTCGTACAGAACAGACAAAATCTTATTTGCTAGGAGTTAACAAGAACTGCAGATGCTGGAGTCAGAATCAATACAGCGAGGAACACAGCAGGCCAGGCAGCAACAGAGGAGTAGGAAAGTCAATGTTTCGGGTTTACACCCTTCATCACCCTACACCTATCCACCCCTCCCACCTCACTGACCAATCTCCACCAACCCCCTGCCTGCATCCACCTATCACCAGCACACCCACCTTCCCCCAGCCCCACACCACCCTGTCCCTTTATTTATTTCCAGGCTCCCTCATCCCTACCGAGTTGTAATATGAGGTGACATTCCTCCAATTTGTGGTGGCATCATTGTGGCACTGGAGAAGGCCCAGGATGGACATGTCACCCAGGGAGTGGGAGGGGGAGTTAAAATGGTTGGTGACCGGAAGGTGTTGTTGATTATAGCGAATGGAATGCAGGTGCTCCGCAAATCAGTGGGGTTGGTGGGGAGTGTCGAGCGGACGAGGGAGTTGCAGAGTGAGAGGTCCCTAAGAAAGGCAGATAGGGATGGGGAGGGAAATTCCTTCACCTCCGCCACATCTGCTCCCAAGATGGAGCGTTCTGACTCATGGACATCTCAGTGTCCTCCTACTTCAAGGACTGCAACATTCATCCCTCTGGTGATTCATTATGCCCTCAACCGCATCTCTTCCACTTCCTGTGCTTCTGCCCTCAAACCCCCTCCGCCCAACTAAAATAAACACTGAGTCTCCCTTGTCCTCACATACCACCCCGCCAACCTCTGTATCCAGTGCATCATCCTCTGCCACTTCCACCACCTACAATCCGACCACACCACCAAAGAGAACCCCATCACACCCGGTACCTTTCCCTGCAACTGCAGGAGGTGCAACACCTGCCCCTACATCTCCCCTCTCACCTCTGCCCAAGGGCCCAAACAATCATTCCAAATCCAAAAGGGATTCACTTGTGCGTCCATCAACCTGGTTTACTGTATCCGTTGGATCTCGTTTTGGTCTCCCCTACATTGGTGAGACCAAGTGCAGATTCGGTGACCAATTCGCACAGCATCTGTGCTCTGCACGCTATAATCAACAACACCTTCCAGTTGCTAACCATTTTAACCACCCTTCCCATTCCCTAGGTGACATGTCCATCCTGCGCCTATAATGACGCCACACACAAACTGGAGGGACAACACCTCATATTCTGTCTTGGGAGCCTACTGCCCGATGGCCTAAACATAGAATTCACCAGTTTCAAAATCTCCCCACCCCGGGCCTCAACCCATGTCCAACCCTCCCTCTCATCCCCGCCTTCTTGACTTGACACAACCTGTCCATCTTCTCTGATAACACAGTGTGGAGCTGGAGGAACACAACAGGGCCAGGCAGCATCAGAGGAGCAGGAAAGCTGACGTTTCGGGTTGTGACCCTTCTTCAGAAGAAACGTCGATTCTCCTGCTCCTCTGATGCTGCCTGGCCTGCTGTGTTCATCCAGCTCCACACTGTGTTATCTCTGACTCCAGCATGTGCAGTTCCTACTATCTGTTCCCATGAGTAGTGACCACTCAACAGCGTAATCTGCATGGCCAGAGAGAAGCTGGTAGGAAGGGGTCGCAATTAAATCACTTGCCCTCGCTGAAGCCAGATTTGCCCCAGGCCGAGGTACAGCTAGACCAGCAGCTCTGGGGTTACTTTTGTGCAGTAATTCTCTGGGGAACGCCAAGCCTTAGAACTTCTATACAGTGCAACAGTCAACAAAACCACATCAGTGTAAAAGCTGATGAGGGAAGAGCTTATTAAAGAACAGCCGAGTGGGGCTAAACGGCGAGCAATTGAATGGATTCCTTTGATGTGTAAATGAAGTTCGGGTATTGTTCCTGGAAATGAACGGGGCGCATGTTAACAGCACAGCACAGCCCTTCTTTCTGAAGAAGGGTCTAGGCCCGAAACGTCAGCCTTCCTGCTCCTCTGATGCTGCTTGGCCTGCTGTGTTCATGCAGCTCTACACCTTGTTATCTCAGCACAGGAGCGGACAGTTTCCCCTCGGCATGCCTGCACTCTGCAAACCTGGCTACAAATCCCGGGAACAAAAACAAAGTTGTTGGAACTGAGTAACTGAGGAAGGGTCACCGGACCCGAAACGTTAACTCTGTTTTCTCCTCCACAGATGCTGAGCTTTTCCAGCAACTTCTGTTTTTGTTCCTGATTTACAGCATCCGCAGTTCTTTCGGTTTTTATTACAAATCCGGGGGATGCACCAGGGAATGGGAGCGCCCGCGCCGGGCTTTCTCATTGACAGTGGAGCGGTTCGTGTCAACAGCAACACTGATAATAATAATAATAATAATAATAAAAAACACAGCATTTCAACCGAGCCGTGCTTGCTATTGGAACCAGGAGCCGTGGGCCAGCCTGAAGGAGAGTTTAATGTATGGTTGGTGCAGAAACGGCGGCTGTGTTTCTGATTCTTGTTACTCATTAAATGTTGCACAAGCCCCGGAATGACCAGTTCCCAGCTACAGCAGGTTAATGGGGAAACTGACACTCTGGCTCCATTGTATCTGTTGGAGTGGCGACTATCTCCCCACCCCCCCACCCCGTCTGAATCTGCCAACTTTCCCTTTGGGGCTGTGGGGGTGGGGAAACAGTGGACTTTTGTCTCGCTGTCCCTCTCTCGGAGCTTTCCATAGTAACGCTGACAAAGCGGCTTGCTGCAGCGGAACGGCCGGCCGCACAGCGACCCCCAGTTCCAAACAAAACGCTGCCAACTCTCCACAGCCCTGGAAAGCCGGGAGAGAGAAGGGAGAGAGGGATCCTCGGCAATGCAGCTCCGGGAAGCAGCGGCTTCACCCCAGACAGAGACGGAGAGCAATCAGTTCAGAAAGTGCCCAGTGCACTGAGTGAGCGCCTGCTAGGACGATGAGCACAGACAGCCAGTACGAGGACAGTGTGTCTAGCCTGTTGCTGGAGAACATCAAACACAGGCTGCTCAGCGCCTTCAGGGCAACCTCTGCTCCGAGAGACCAACCCAGCTCCTGGACCCTCAGCACCAACCCTCGGGCTGACCAGGAACTCCGCAGAGCCAAGATCGATGGGGCCATCACTTGGCTCCGGACCGAACTGGTGAGGACAAAAGCTCCAGTCTTTTCAGTGTTCACCCTCTTTCCCAAACTCCCAATTCCACCCCATTCCCCGTGGCCAGTCTCTGGCTGCTCAGAGCAGGGCTGGACCCAACTACCTGTGGAGCTGAGCCCCTCCTCCAGCTGTTTGGGGAGCAGAGCCTCCCCCCCACTCCCTAACCCCTCACCCCAACCCCAGCTCAGGGGTCACCTACCCCTGTATTCCCTATAAGGAACCTTGAACCCCTGGCTTCCTCGAACTGTAGTGACCCTGGCTTGGAGTTTGTTTGAAGTAGTCACCTTTACTGTAAGACAGGATGAATGTGTTTCCTGCCCATGGGTCATAGTGCCCGCTTGCCCCCCCAACCCCCATACCCTGAGGACAGTCAACACTCCCACCTTCACTGGAGGGCCACCTTCCATTCCCAGTACTCGCATGCCAGAAGCTTTTTTCAAACCAAATATTGACCACATTACCCTCCACCAACTCAGCCCCTTGCATCCCACTCCCTGCCAGCTGTCTGAGACGAACCTTTGTGTGTGATAATTGGCCTTAACCTAAGCTTTGGACTACATGCCTCACTATGACCATCCTCTTGCAGCTGTTAGCATCTTCTACCTCAGCTCGCCTGCTGCTGAATCCTCATCCAGCTCTTCCTTCCATCCCTAGGCCTGACCATTCCAGTAAATCCCGAGTGACGCTACCACTGTGTATTCTCTCTGAATTTACGTTCATGCCAAACTTCTGCTGCTGCCCTTCCACTCAGGCACCCGCCTGTGCCTGCTTAAAACAGGCTTTTAAGATGTCCATCAGCCCATGACCTCTCTGGCTTTGAAAATCTGCAGTCCCAGCCCCACAGAGAAACTACTTCTCTCAGAGGGTTGTGAATCTGCAGAACTCACTGCCCCAGAGTGCAGCGGAGGCAGAATCAATCAACAGATTTAAGAAGGAAATAGATGTGTTTCTGATGTGAAGCGGGATAGAGGTCTATGGAGAGTGGGCAGGAGACTGAGGTTGACATCAGGATAAGATCAGCCATGGTTATGTTAAATAGTGGAGCAGGTTCAAGAGGCTGAATTGCCTTCTCCTGCTCTGAATGCCTATGTTCATATACTCTATATATATCTCCGGTGGTATATTGACCCTCCTCCAATTCTAGCCCCTTGAGCAAGCTGGTCAAGCATTGCAAGGCGACTGTACCTTCAGCTTCCAAGGTCCTCAAATCCCCCTCCTCCAAACACCAGGCCACTTCTTTTTTCTCCTTTAATTGCTTCCAAAAGCTAGTTCTTTGATCAAGCTTTAGGCTATTCGTGCCCCCCCACCCCTCCTTTCCTTACGTGATTAGGTTTCCCATGGTGTCCAGTTACTTTCCTGTAAAGAGCCCTGGGACATTGTGCAATGTTGGCACAATATGAAGTCAAATTGTTGTTACATGTGTACCCGGTGATTTGGGGGAATTTGCAGATGTGGTCAGTGTTAACAGGGGTTAGTGATCAAGTGAATGTGAGTTGGGGGGGTTGTTGAGGGGGATGTTGTGGTTTTTTTTTAAGCAAGATCCATGGGAAAGGGAAACATGGAGTGGGTTTAATGTGTGGTTCTTCCCCAGTGCAGAGTCGAAGCTTTTCAATAGCAATAGATCCGAATGGGGACATTGGCAGAAGAGTCAGTCTCACCTCTTTCAATTTGCCTTGCAGTTGGAGATGCGGTCCCAGGATCGGGAGCTCGCCAAAACCTTGTTGGAGTTAAACAGGGAAATCCAGAAGCTAAGGAGTGAACAGGAGTTGTGCAGAAACGTGGGCAGCAGGTCTCCTTCAGAGTTTCAGGATCCTGAAGTTCAACCTTCCAGGCAACAGGACAAGGAAGGAGCTGCACAGTCCCGAGAAGAGCAGAGAAGAAACTAATCGACTCTAGGGTTAATGGCCTGAGTTTGCAAAGTGTTTCACACTTAAAATAACATGATGTATTGTCTAGGTCAAACAACAGCATTAGAAAAATTTAATAATGTGACCGTTCTGAAGAAGGATCACTGGATCCAAAATGTAAACTCTGCTTTCTCTCTACAGATCCTGCCAGATCTGCTAAGTAATTTCTGATTTTGTGTTTTCTTTAATGTACTCATTTGTGGGATGTGGGTGTCACTGGCTGGCCAGCATTTATTGTCTGTCCCTAGCTGCCCTTGAGAAGGTGGGGGTGAGCTGCCTTCTTGAACCACTGCAGTCCACCTGCTGTGGGTTGACCTACAATGCCCTCAGGGGGGGAATTCCAGGATTTTGACCCAGCAACAGTGAAGGAACAGCAGTATATTTCCAAGTCAGGATGGTGAGTGCCTTGGAGGGGAACTTGAAGGTGGTGGTGAGAGACAAAAAGAAACTGCAGATGCTGGAATCCAAGGAGGCTGGAAGAACACAGCAGGCCGGGCAGCTTCCCCGAGGGGGGAAGGGGTGTGCCTGGGGCATTGACTGCTCCTTTGCTCCAGATGCTGCCGAGCCTACTGCGTTTTTCCAGCCTCCTGTTTGTCTATCTTGAAGGTGGTGGTGTTCCCATTTATCTGCTGCCCTTGTCCCTCTAGGTGGAATAGTTGTGGGTTTGGAATGCGCTGTCTGGGGATCTTTGGTGAATTTCTGCAGTGCATCTTGTAGATGGTACACACTGTTGCTACTGAGTATCGGTGGTGGAGGGAGTGAATGCTTGTGGAT